AAAATTTTGAGAAATGTGAAGTTTGCAGTCAAGCAAAAATAACTAAAAGGCCTCATAAAAGTGTTGTGAGAAGTACTGAATTGTTAGAATTAATTCACACTGATTTATATGAATTTGAATGAATTTTAACACGTGGTGGAAATAGATATTTTATCACTTTTATTGATGAATTTGAAGGAATTTTAACACGTGGTGGAAATAGATATTTTATCACTTTTATTGATGATTTTTCAAAATACACTTATGTATATTTGTTGAAAAATAAAAGTGATGCTTTTGAAAAATTTAAAGAATTTCTTCTTGAAGTTGAAAATCAATTTGGTAAAAAGATTAAAAGATATAGAAGTGATAGAGGCCGGGAGTATGAATCTTTTGAATTCAACTTGTTTGCTCAGTCTTTGGGAATAATCCATGAAACTACTCCACCATATTCACCTGCATCTAATGGTGTAGCAGAAAGAAAAAATAGAACTTTAATTGATTTAACAAATGCTATGCTAATTGAAGTAAGTGCTCCTTCAAATTTGTGGGGAGAAGCAATCTTAACTGCATGTTATGTTATAAATAGAGTGCCACATAAAAAAACAAAAGTTACACCTTTTGAGTTGTGGAATGGGCATAAGCCAAATTTGAGATATTTGAGGGTTTGGGGTTGTCTAGCTTTTGTTAGACTTGTGGACCCTAAAAGACCTAAATTAGGCGTGAAAGTTGCCACTTGTGCTTTTTCTTGGATATGCAACAAATAGTACAGCCTATAGATTTTTTGATATTGAAAACAAAATAATTTTTGAATCAGGTGATGCAATTTTTCATGAAAAAAATTTTCTTTTTAAATCTAAAAATTGTGGGGGTCAAAATTATCAAGAAAATATTTTATCTAAAACCGACTCCTCTACTCCTCTTTTACAAAACCAAGATACTGTAGTTTTTGAACCAAAAAGGAGTAAAAGAGCCAGATTAGTAAAAGGTTTTGGCCCTGACTATCATGTTTTTAATGTGGAGGGAACTCCATTAACTTTACAAGAAGCTTTGGCATCTCCTGACTCTGTTTTTTGGAACGAGGCTGTAAATGACGAGATGGAATCATTATTATTCAATAAAACTTGGATATTAGTAGATTTACCACAAGGTTGTAAAACTATTGCCTGTAAATGGGTTTTGAGAAAAAAACTTAAACCGGATGGAACTATTGATAAATATAAAGCAAGGCTTGTTGCGAAAGGTTTTAAACAACAAGCAGATCTTGACTTTTTTGATACATTTTCTCCGGTTACTAGAGTTACATCCATTGGATTATTAATTGCAGTGGCTGCAATTCATGATCTAAAAATTTATCAAATGGATGTTAAAACAGCCTTTTTAAATGGAGACCTGGGTGAAGAACTATATGGATCAACTTGAGGGTTTTGTAGAACCCGGTCAAGAAAGCAAAGTGTGCAAGCTAGTTAAATCCCTCTATGGCTTAAAACAAGCCCCTAAACAGTGGCATGAGAAATTTGATTCCTACATGATTGAGAATGACTATAAAACGAATGAATGTGATAAATGCATTTACTATAAATCTGAAGAGAATTCACATGTCATTATTAGCCTCTATGTGGATGATTTACTTATATTTGGCTTTAATTTACATATCATCGTGGAAACTAAAAATATGCTTAGTAGCCATTTTGATATGAAAGATCTTGGTGAGGCTAATTATATTTTGGGAATGAAAATTACCAAAACTTGTGATGGTATATTTCTTGATCAGTCGCATTATGTTGAGAAACTTTTGAGAAAATATAGTTTTTATAACTGCAAGCATGTTCTTACTCCTTTTGATCCTCATGTGCGTTTATTTCCTGTTGAAAATGATGAGAATGTAATTAATCAAAAGAAATATGCTAGTATGATTGGTAGCTTGCGTTATGCGACTGACTGTACTAGACCTGACATTGCTTATGCAGTTGGAGTACTTAGCAGGTTTACTAGCAAGCCTGGTAGTGATCACTGGCTAGCCATTGAGCGTATTATGAAATATTTATCTGCTACCATAAAATATGACTTGTTTTATAATAAGTATCCTGCAGTAATTGAAGGTTACATTGATGCCGATTGGAATACCTTGTCAGGTGATTCATTATCAACCACTGGTTATTTATTTACCTTGGGAGGTGGTGCTATAAGTTGGAAATCGAAAAAACAAACCATTATTGCTAATTCAACAATGGAGGCTGAGCTTATTGCTTTAGCTACAGCTAGTGAAGAAGCAAATTGGTTGAGAGATTTGTTAAATGAAATCTCTTGTTGGGAAAAACCAATTCCACCTATATTAATTCATTGTGATAACACTGCAGCAATTAGTCGAGTTAATAATCGTTATTATAACGGTAAATCCAGACCTATCAGAAGAAAACACAGTACTGTGAGATCTTATATGAATAATGGCATCATAAATGTGAATTATATTAAATCTGGTGGTAATCTTGCAGATCCATAAACTAAGGCCTTAGCAAGAGATAGAGTCTAGAATACATCGAGGGGGATGGGATTGAAGCCCATTGAATATAGCAGGAGCCATGTATGAGGATACTCAACCCAGGGACCAGAGATCTTGTAACTGGGTTCAATAAGAAAAACGATCATATGATGGCCGTGAGAAATGCACCAAATTACTTTTTACCCATCCCTATGATGTAAGTGCATTTATCCTGTAACGTTGTAGAGGTTGAGTTATTAAAAAACTCTTAATGAATTTCTGTAGCTCTTATTGAGTGAGGTGTCATAGTTACAGGAGCACTCTTGACAGAATTCACTTATGTGAGTGTGGTAGTGGGGCCGCTACCTATGAGATTTGGGCTAATTCTCAAACACACTCATGAATCCTGGGATCGCACAAGGCCGTAATGTGCTAGCTTTTAAAGCTTTTGTGAACACCTGGAATATTATGTGTGTGCAATAATTATTTATTTCCCTTAAGTAGTCATAGTTCAATGCTGAGCATACTATTGGCTCTGGAGTAGATATTATTGTTTCATTAATGGAGGTTCAATGCAGAGCACACCTACCATGATGCATAATATCCTTATTTGCCTAATAATCTCAGTTTTGTTACCTATAGTATTAAAATAGGTGGGAGAATGTTAGCAGGTATTTTAATATTATATTGTGATATTGGTTTCCATCAGGTCTTCCTAGTCTTCCACGACTGTTCCATCCAAGTCTTGGTCTTGTCCTTCCATTCTTTTCTTCCAAGCCTTCCAAGCTAAGGCTTTGCCAAAGTCTTCCAAGAGTCCACCAAGTCTTTATCCTTCCAAGACTTCTAAGTCTAAGTCTTCCAAGTCAAGTCCATGTCTTCCAAGTCTTTCAAGTCGTCTTCACCAAGTCTTGGTCTTATCTCCAGTAACTTATCCACCAGAACCTTTTTTGATTTCTATATATATATATTAACTTATGTCCTATCTTTAGAGACACATACGAGAGAAGAAGTTTTGGTTGTGTTGTTATGCCTTGAGTGAGATTATCAGGCAAATAAAAAAGGTGTGTGTGATAAAATTTTGGGTTCAACCAATTGTGCAGTATTGGTTAACCATACGACTTAGTCAGGCTGTTGTATCCTGGGGAGGACAAGTCAAGGTTTTTTCTGCTGCACCGGTGTGAGGCTTTGCCTAACCGCAGAGGGCTTGAATCTCCTTAAAAAGAGCGAATTTCCCGTGCTTCAGCCCTTATATTAATTGTTGTAACTTTTATTTTGTATATTATCTAGTGTTTTATTTGTAAGTATCACCAACAATTTTAAACCAAGAATACCGAACCAATAAATAAAAAAAAACAGAACCAACTCAACACATAAAACCTCAACATGAAAATACTAGAGTTGTTGAATAAACCTGAGGTTGCGCCAAAGGTCACCATATGGGGCTGAACCCATACTGGTGTAGTTGTAGTTGAGGTATTTTCCGGAGAGGCTAGGCGGCCGGTTGGCAAATATGATATCATTTTTTGTGAAACATTCTTCGACGGCAGAAGGCGAGGTGACCAGGATGACCTTTCTGGGTCCGAACCGGAGGAGGGTGATTGGGCCATACTTGTCTGAACAAGCTTGAAGAGTTTGGTGCAGTGGCCCTTTCAGTAGATGAAGATGGCCTATGATGGGAAGCCCAGGAGGACTTGGTGGTAAATTCTTGTATCTTTCTTGTTTTTCTGTGAGGAGCTTGAAGAAGAAGAGTAGGAGAAGAGAGATAATGATGAGAGGTATGGAGTACCAGTTAGCTTCCATCACTCTCTCTGTATCCAAATTTGTCGGTGTGGTGCCAAGTTTGAGGAGAGAAAATTTGTTACTCATAATTGAGTGAGTGGAGCCTACAGCTCTATTATTTTATTATTATAATATAGTTTTCGACGTTGGCATGATCGGCAAAATCATTGCAGTCATCATCATATCAACATTATTTATATCTATCTATCTAGCTATCCATCTACTATCTACTTTCAACTACTACTGAATACTGGTAAAAAATGAGTGTTGACATGTTTTATTATTTTTCTATGTTGGAATAATGTCACATGAGAGCTACCAACTCACCAATTAGTGCAACTAGGTAGAGCAAATGCAATGGAATCCAATGTTTCTAATTTCAAGGTTAAAAACATAGAAGCATATTAAACTACTGTCTCTGTTGCAATAGAGTTGCATTGGTGGCAGCAACTGTTGCTAGCTTAGCCTCTGTTGAACTCACTGTTATTAATGCCACAATCAAACAGGCCTTCATATTTCACCTTATTCATTATATTTACTTCCTACTGCACTTTCAGTCAAGCTCGAATGTGAATCCTTATTTTGCTTCTCAAAACTTGAGATTAACAATGTAAACAATGACAACTGCTTTTAGGAAGTGAGATGATTCTATGTATAATGAACATAACAAATTAGGGCAAAAACATTGTTCCATGAAAAGGAAAAACATCTCTCTCTCTCTCTCTCTCTCAATATGTAGATTGAAGGAATCAACAATTCTGTAGAAGTCTGATTTCACCTTTTCAACATTGTTCATAATACTTATTAGATAACACTTAAAACAACAACACTTAAAACAGTACTTAAGCTGAACACAAAACACTTGCACCTTTTCAACAGCGGTTGCTAGCTTAGCCTTTTCAGCACTTGTGGACTTTGTGGACTTTATTTTCTCAGTTAGCTATGTAATCTGTTAGTTTAGTTTTTAACTAGAAAGTTTACTACTTATTACTTAACCTAGAGCACCTTAACAAAATATAGAAAGAGCCAGTGGGGATTGGGACAAATCTATAAATTGGTGAGAGAAGAGTGGGGAAAGAGAGTGAGTGTGAATGTTTGTTTGAATTTTAATTCCAGTATTTAAATGTTGTAGGCATATTGATAGACAAAATGTCCCCTTGATTGACTGCGCACGGCTTCATAATGAGTTTAGTAGCATTGGAGACTTCTATTAGACTAATTAAGCAAATTTTATATTGGTTCTCTAAATTAAAGGGCCAAGTAATATATTATTACTTACTATATAAGCTTATTGGTGGAGGGTTTAATATTTGGCTTTTTCATCAAACAAAAATAATTAATATGTCATTCAGCCCCTTTGGTCAGAAATGTTGCTTTGTTAATTTGTCAAATGACTCACCAATTAATAGGCCATTTATATATTAATTAAGCCGTGACGGTATGAGTTGGGTCCCTTAGTTTAAATAATTTATACACGTGTAATATCAGTGTGTTTAGTTTGAGTTTTTTGAATTAAATTTTTTGAAAATTCAGTTTTTTGGTTTTCGTGTTCTTTTTTTTTTTTTAGTAAATATTTTGGGGGGGGTTACAAAGTTTGGCGAGGAGCCAATCAAACACCCGAACTCCAAAACTGAAAAACTGAACAAGAGACAAAAGAACAAAACAAACAGCAGCAAGGCGAAATTGTAGCTGAAGGCCTGTGAATTAGCACAGCAACAATCCTAACATCAATCCAAACATCAACACCTGCTGAAGGCCTAACAAGCATAAACCAAACAGAGCAACTTTGCAATGCTGGAGCTTCCTGCGCAACAATTTCTGGGCCTGAGAATCTGCACTAGTGGACAGCGGACAGCCATTACACAGAATCTGCTTACAGATTTACCTGCTAATTGACGCACTGCCTGATCTGATGGAGGTTTGAGACAAGGTCATGGACTGAGTAGTCAACCCTGAAGGACCACTTCACCCACAGAGCGATCTGCAGTTTCAACCTCTCACTTAGACCTGCAAAATCTGGATTAACCCCCTTAAATTTGCACTCGTTTCTTAACTTCCATACAGACCACATCAGTAGTGCTGGAACAGCCTGCCAAGCTTTGTGAACCCAAGACTTCGCTTTACTCCCTGACCAGCATTGAAGCAAACCCTCAACAGAACCCGGGATGACCCAATGCTGATCCCACCAACTAGCCATGGCTGCCCAGCACTTCCAAACCTGTGGGCAAAATAGCAGCACATGCTCAAACGACTCCACAACAGATTGACAAAAAACACACTGGGTCTCTGCATTGGGAGGGAGAACCCTAATCCTCTGAAGGAAGAGAGAAGTCTTAATGCGGCCTCTCCAAGCAAGCCAGCAAAGGAACTGCATCTTGGGAGGTGCCAGGCTTACCCACACCCCAGCTGGCACTCTCAATTCAGGGCCTTTAGTTGCACCCCACCAACTCCACACCGATGATGTTGATAACTTACCAGATGTTGATGCTAGCCAAGAGCAAGAGTCTTCAGATTCAATTCTAAGATCAGGAGATGAGTCCAGGAATGCAGTCAGCCTCTGCAGCTCCTCTTCCTCCCATGCCAACAACCTCCTTCTGAACTGGAGCTGCCATACCCCGAGTTTCTTCTTGGCACTAATTTGCTGTAATGTTCCATCCTTCTCAGTGGATAGACTGAACAGTCTAGGATACTCCTCATTCAGACTTCTACCATTGAGCCAAGCATCCGACCAAAACTGGATCCTTCTCCCGTTTCCCACTGATAGCTTGAAGTTCTGGGAATAAAACTCACCCAAAGACTGGTTATTTAAATTGAGCTGCACAATATCCTTCCATACAGTAGACGCCCCATCTGTGTTGGACAAAGTTGGTGCCCAATCCCCTCCTGAACGCCCATACCTTGAGCAGACTACTGATTTCCATAGGGTTTTATCCTCTGTCCCGAATCTCCACCACCATTTTAACAGCAAACAGTCGTTCACTTCACCCAAATCTCTCACACCCAAGCCCCCTTGACTTTTATTCCTAGTTACCTCACCCCAATTAACCAAGTGTATACACCTCCCATCCTTTGCTCCTCCCCACAAGAAATTTGATTGAATTTTTGCCAATGCCTTAGCAACCCCCTTAGGCATCTTGAAAATAGAAAGAAAGTAAGTAGGCAAATTGGAAAGGACTGATTTAATTAAAGTCAAACGCCCAGCAAAAGACAGCAGCTTACTCTTCCAAGATGACAACCTCTTGCTCACCTTATCCAGTATTGGGTTCCAAGTGCTCTTCCTCTTTGGGTTAGCCCCTAGAGGCAAACCTAAAAAGTTGAAAGGTAAGTTCTTCAATTGGCAATTCAATCTTAGAGCTAAACCCAAAATTTCATCTTCTTGGAAGCCCACACCGCATATAGCGCTTTTGTGATAATTTATTTTTAATCCAGACATCACTTCAAAACACCTCAACACCCTCTTAATATTAAGCACCTCCTCGTGATCACCTTCACAAAACACTATAGTATCGTCTGCAAACTGGAGGTGAGAAATACGCAAATCATTACCTCCCACAGAGGCTCCTCTAAACAAGTCCTTCTCTACCGCCCTTGCTAGTAAGAGGTTAAGAGCTTCCGCTGCAATTATAAACAAAAAAGGTGATAGGGGGTCGCCCTGCCTTAGCCCCTTCTGAGGCTGGAATTCTTCTATAGGAGAGCCATTAACCAACACTGAAACCCTGGCTGTAGCAATGCAACTCCTCATCCAAACTAACCATTTCTCTCCGAAACCCAGATTATTCATCATCGACCACAGAAACTCCCAATTGAGTGAGTCATAAGCTTTTTCAAAGTCCAATTTTAGGATAATGCCTTTCTTCTTCGATCTTTTCCAAGCATCTACAACTTCATTAGCTATTAGCACACCATCTAGGATTTGCCTCCCACACACAAAGGCGGACTGAACCTCGTTGATCACTGCTGGCAACACTCGCTTAAGCCTCCTTGAGAGCACTTTTGCCAAAATTTTATAGACCGAGCTCACCAAACTGATAGGTCTATAATCCCCCAAGCCTATGGGATTAACCTTCTTAGGAATAAGAACTATGAAAGAGCTATTAACCCCTCTCGCTAGCTTACCATTTTGGTGAAATTCATTCACCATACTAACGATCTCCCCTTTCAAGATTGACCAGCAGCTTTTAATGAAGTTAAGGTTAAAACCATCTGGGCCTGGGGCTTTGTTCCCATCGCAAGCCTGCACAGCTTTCCAAACCTCATCTTCTGTGAAAGCAGCTTCCAAACTACCAACATCCGCAGGGCTTATAACAGCAAAAGGGCCAAGAAGTTTTGGCCTTAGCTTCCAATCCTCAGAGAATAGTTGACTGAAATGCCTAACCACTTCCTGCTTGACCTGAACCGGATCCTCCACTCTCCTTCCCTCCACTACAACAGAGTCAAGCAAATTCTTCATCTGCCTTCTGCTAGCCATAATGTGAAAGTACCTAGTGTTTTTATCACCAGACTGAGCCCACATCTGCCTAGACTTTTGGTGCCATAGCCTCTCCTTGCTTCTACCCAGCTGCCACACCTGGCTCCTTACTTCTCTTCTTCTCATCTGTTCCACTTCCTCTAGAGATCTAGACTTTGCCTTCAAGTCCCATTCATGAAGCTCCTCCTCAGCCTTCTGTAATTGAGTATCAATATTACCAAACACAACCTTGTTCCACATCCTTAAGTGGCTCCTAAGCAGGTTTAGTTTTCTTATCACTCTAAACCCTGCCCATCCTTGAACTTGAGCTTCCTCCCACCTTTTCTTTACCTCTGATATGAAGGATGGATGAGATAACCAGGCATTGATAAATTTAAAAGGCTTTGGTCCCCAATCCCTACTATCTTCCTGTATCAAAATGGGACAGTGATCTGAGATAGACCTTGGGAGACCCCATTGCTTAAACGAAAATTTTTCCATCCACTTCACATCTAACAAAAATCTATCGATCCTACTCCACCTGTTCCCATCCATGGCATTACACCAAGTATACTGCCTCCCAAGCAGAGGCATATCAGTTAGTTCCAATTTTTCCACAAGTTCATTAAAATCCTTCATCCCCCTATCTCTGGATAAGCAACCCTTCCTTTCCCCCATAAATCTAATTTCATTAAAATCCCCTCCCACACACCACGAATTTGGAAAATGATGATGAATACCCACAAGAGATTTCCATAACTGCCTCCTCCCAAGAACGTCATTAGGAGCATAGATATTTACAAGGGAACACTGAAAAGAAGGACTAGAGGTACCTGATAAAATGATGAAGTTTTTACCACTGCAACAACTCTTAAGCTCGAAGATTTGTGGCCTCCATATAGACAGGAGACCTCCAGCACTTCCCACAGAATCCACCACCATATATTCCATTTCTTCATAGGGCCAAATTGATTTCACAAAATGATCCTCCATAATTCTTCTCTTAGTCTCCTGAAGAAAGAGCACATCAACCCCTCTCTCCCTCACCAATCTCTTTATCTTTCCCCTCTTTTCTGGTCTTCCCAAACCTCGCACATTCCAAGATAATATCTTCATTTAAACACACTATTGATTCCAATCTCCTCCGGACAGCCCTCTAAACTTCGGTTGCCCTGCCTCCTCCTCCAATTCTGCTCCTATCCTTCTCTTCCAGCTCCACAATTCTACCCACAACCTCTTCCTCTTTGCCTTGGTAGTCCATACCCAGCTCGGTGCCTACTCTCACTGTTGCCAAAGCCTCCTCAACCAGTTGCTTCCTACTGTTCGATGCTTGGGACTGGGAATTAGAAACCATTAGTGAATGTCCCCTTGATTGACTGTGCACGGCTTCATAATGAGTTTAGTAGCATTGGAGACTTCTATTAAACTAATTAGGCAAATTTTATATTGGTTCTCTAAATTAAAGGGCCAAGTAATATATTATTACTTACTATATAAGCTTATTGGTAGAGGGTTTAATATTTGGCTTTTTCATCAAACAAAAATAATTAATATGTCATTCAGCCCCTTTGGTCAGAAATGTCGCTTTGTTAATTTGTCAAATGACTCACCAATTAATAGGCCATTTATATATTAATTAAGCCGTGACGGTATGAGTTGGGTCCCTTAGTTTAAATAATTTATACACGTGTAATATTAGTGTGTTTAGTTTGAGTTTTTTGAATTAAATTTTTTAAAAACTCAGTTTTTTGGTTTTCGTGTTCATTTTTTTTTAGTAAATATTTTTAAAATTTTAAACATTTTTTTTTACTTTTTTAGATGCACCTTACTTAGATGTATCTAAAAAGTAAAAAATTTGTGAAAAAATATTTTAAAATTTTAATAAATACATAAAAATACAAAAAATGTACCGGATTCTCGTATTTTTTTTTTGTATTTTTGGTATTTAGTGAATTTTTAAAAGGTTTTTTTCACAAATTTTTTACTTTTTAGGTATATTTATGTTAGGTATGTCTAAAAAGTAAAAAAAAAAATTACTTAAAATATTAAAAAAATTCAGTAAAAATAAAAAAAATGAAAAACAAGAAAGTAGAATTTTCTGAAAAGTGTTTTTGAAAAAACACAACCAAGCAAGCTGATTTTTTTTTTTTTTTTTTCTTTCTTCCTAATACAAATTTTGTATACATAAATTATGTTTGTATAAATAATAGGTTTTTAAATTCAATAAATGAATGTGGATATGACACGTAGTTCTATATTTAAATTTGTTTGTTGATGTTGTTTTATGTATTTTTATGCTCTTGAATTTATCAATGAAGTCTTGCTGATCAAAAAGAAAAAAAAAAAAAAAAAATAGCCAAACTATTTGGATGGCAGTCGAGTAGGATATGTGGAGGATGTTTGAACAAGGCAAACAGTCAGTTTTTGAACATGATAAGTAAATTACATAGCCAAACCTGAACAATGGGGTGGAGTAGGTCTCTTCCTAGAATATTGTAAATATGTGAGACATGATTTCACCTCAAACAAAGCAATAAAGGAAGCAGTTGCCTGTCTCAACAGTAAAACTCTCACTTATAAGCCTGCCTTAGGTACTACTTGTATTCAAGCTTACTAGCTTATCACTAGATCTAAGGGGAAAAGAAAATGAGGATCACCCTAACACTTCATATGGAGATCAAACTCACAATCTTAGGTGATAACATATGGAGATATGTTGGAAAGCTGACAGAAGCTCAAAGGAGCATGCTAGATGATGGATTTAAATGGAAGGTTGGTGCAAATTTACACTAATTTCTGTGTTTAAGTGTTTCTGCTTCTTTCATTAAATGTTTCATGTACTATATAGGCTTTTAAGTTCTGGAGGGGGTTGGTGCAAATTTACACTAATTTCTGTGTTTAAGTGTTTCTGCTTCTTTCATTAAATGTTTCATGTACTATATATATATAGGTTTTTAAGTTCTGGAGGGTTTCAATTGTACCATTTTTGCCTATGGACAACTTGGCACAGGAAAAACTTACACCATGGAAGAAGAATGTAAGAGCTCAAAGGTACTTTGTTGTTTATGTGGTTAGTTCATGTTTAAGTTTGCCATGCTTACTCATTTCAAGTTCTGATGCCATGTCTATATTTTGTGCCAGACTGGACCTAATGGAGACTTGCTAACTGTCGGACGAGTTATTAATGGTCTCGTGGAGCATATTGTGCATGTCCCCTACAAGTTCAAGTTGTTTTCATTAGACCTTTATGTGCCATTTTTGCCTATGGAGAGGGTTTCAATTGTGCCATTTTTGCCTATGGAAACTTGGCACAAGAAAAACTTACACCATGGAAGGAGAATGTAAGAGCTCAAAGGTACTTTGTTGTTTATGTGGTTAGTTCAAGTTTAAGTTTGCTATACTTACTCATTTCAAGTTCTGATGCCATGTCTATATTTTGTGCCAGGCTGGACCTAATGGAGACTTGCTAACTATCAGACGAGTTATTAATGGTCTCGTGGGGCATCTTGTGCATGTCCCATACAGGTTAAAGTTCTTTTCATTAGACCATTAGTTTGTTTTTATATCTTTTTTCAGATTTTTTTCCCTATCCCAATTATGCACTTACTATGCTAAATTTTTTTCCCTATCCCTGATGCCATGTCTATATTTTGTGCCAGGCTGGACCTAATGGAGACTTGCTAACTGTCAGACGAGTTATTAATGGTCTCGTGGAGCATCTTGTGCATGTCCCATACAGGTTAAAGTTGTTTTCATTAGACCATTAGTTTGTTTTTATATCTTTTTTCAGATTTTTTTCCCTATCCCAATTATGCACTTACTATGCTAAATTGGAATGTAGGGATAACAAGCTCACCTGTCTGCTTGGAGATTTGTTGGGTGCAAAAATCAAGACATGCATTATTACCACAGTATCACCTGCAGTCCATTGCCTGGAGGAGACCTTGAGTACACTAGACTATGCACATAGGGCAAAACATATTAGAAATAAGCCTGAGGTTGATATTGGAATCTTTTTAGTACAAGGGGCGAAGCGTCCCTGATTTGGTAAATCATTTTTCATATATGTATCCTTCATCGTTCTATCATTGGTTTCTGAAGTCTATTCATCTGACATTCACCTCTAATCTTGTAGCTTTTTTCTTCATGTTTAGGTAATGGCGGATCAGACTGAACAAATGGCAATTACAATAGAAATCCACCAGAAGGTCCGTTTAATTTAAGCAACTGTAAAAACAATAGAATTTGCTATGACCAGCAGCTTGAGGAATTACAAGATAAATTCGATGATCAGGTTAAAAAATGCTCTAACATAGACAACAAACTTGATGCCACCCAGGTAAGTTCTATCCGTATGTGGTTATGTATGGTTTTAGGATTGAAAGTTTTGTAGAAAAACTTGAACGAAACAAGAAAATTGTTGGCCAGCACTGAAGAAGAGTTAAGAAGATGCTAGTATGCTCTCAAGGAGTGTGAATTTATTATCTCTAAGCAGAAAAAAGCAGGTATGCTTGAATATTTCTGTCGTTCAAATTTCTTTTATAGCTCCATCTAAATAATGTTGGTAAAGAATTGAAATGGTTCCCTGCATTCACCTTGTTTGGTTGAACAATTGAAAGTAGTTTGAATTGAAAATGTAAGAGTTGAAGCTTCACTTAAATGTTTGACAGACTCTGTTTTAACATGAAACATGTTTGGGTTCAAAAATATATTGGATTTGATAAACATTTTTCTAAATGAACCTGGTTGAAATAATGCTGTTAAGTCTGAAAAAAGAAACACTGCGCTGCTTAAAACATGCATAGCCTGTCTTCTTGCTGGTTTGCTCCTCATGTTGGCCTCAGTTGCATATGGAGCTTATGTTTTTTCACACAATAGGCCAACTGAAGGTACCACATCCTGTACGCCTTCTGTGGACCATCAGATTGATTCAATCCAACTACTGACCCATGAGTTGACCTGTATTTTAATTTTCTGGTCAACTGATGTCATATTTACTTCCCTATGGTGCAGGTTCTTCCAAGTACTATATATGATGTCGACCTTCATCGTTTTTGCCAAATATGAACATAAACATGTTCAAAGGTTATTTAATTTTTTATTTTTGAAACCAAAACATTGTACCTTACCAAACATTAGTCTCAGTCAATTTGATCATGATGGTGAATTAGATTCAAACCCTTTTCACACTACAAGAAAAAACATATTTGGCGACTGAATTTTTAGCCGCCAAAAGTCAATTTTTAGTCGCCAAAAGTCGGTTTGGTTGCTGGAAAACGGTCGGGAAAGGTATTGGCGACTAAAAGACTTTTAGTCGCCAAAAAATAAGTCTGTAGCGACTAAAACTTTGGTCGCCAATAGTCAATTATATTTTTTAAATTATACATTTGGCGACTAAATTTTTAGTCGTCAATAGTCAATTATATTTTTTAAAATTATACATTTACCGACTAATGTTTTAATCACCAATGCTCAAGGAATCAGCGACCAAACAGATTTAGTCACCAAAAGCTCATTCCCAAAAAAAAAAAAAAAATTACACCTTGCTCTTGTGGAGATTCAAACCTTCAACCTTCCACACCATAAACCTTATACAACACACTCTTTTCACTACACCTCCATAACATCATATGATTATATATGCAACATATATTATTTATATAGTATTTAGACCCGTATTAATATAAAAGTATATATATAAACATAATTATTTTTTATTGAACATAATTTATTTAAAAATAAATTATTTAGTAGAAAAAAAAGGACACCACTTTTAGCGTCTAAACTTTTTTTTAGTCTCCAAAAAGCCTCACTTTTGGCTACTAAACATGTTTTTAGTGGCCGAATCGTTTACTTTTGGCCACTAATTTTTTTTTAGTCGTCAAAGGGCCTTTCTTTTGGCTACTAAAATTTTTTTAGTCGCTAAAAGCCTCACTTTTGCCAACCAAATAGATTTTTAGTCGCCGAATGCCCCACTTTTGGCTACTAATTTTTTTTTAGTCGCTAAAAGGCCTTACTTTTGGCTACTAAAATTTTTTTAGTTGCTAAAAGCCATATATTGGCTACCAAACAGATTTTTAGTCGTCAAAACCTATACTTTTGGCTACTAAATTTTTTTAGTCGCCAAAAATCTTTACTTTTGGCTACTAATGCATTTTTAGTTGCCAAATGCTACACTTTCAGCGACGAAATGTTATTTTTTAGTCGCCAATAGTGCTTTTTCTTGTAGTGTCACATTTATGCAGGAGAGATTGATGCTCAATACACTACAGTTCAATATGTCAATTCCAACCCCATATGACTTCTTAATCAGATACCTTAAGGCTGCTCAATCTGATAGGAAAGTAAGCAGATAATCTCAATTTCGGTCCATATGTTGTGTTATTTAGTTTTTATTTTTACATATCACAGTCAGCCTAAATGAGAAATTGTAATTCTAATGTGCACCTTGCAACAACTTGGGCTCCTATCGATCTAAATGATCGACCTATGCCTCATGGAGTATGAGATGCTCAAATTCCCACCATCTTTCTTGGCTGTCGCAACAACCTACACTGCTAAATGTACCATCTATGGGTTTAAGCAATGGAGCAAGACCTGTGAGTGGCATACTAGCCACTCAGAAGATCGGCTCCTAAATGTTCGCAGCCATGTTTTTTTTTTTGGGTGAGTACGCAGCCATGTTCAATTGTGAACATGCATTGAACTGTACTTGTGTTTCATCTGACTATATTTTTAAGATTATACTTTTTTTATCTATTCTCTCTTTTACTCATGTGATAATAAAACATCATCCGTCACTTATGAGAGTTGTGTTGGAGCCAGGAAAGAATTGTAGCAAAACAAAACTAGTCCAAATTGATTAAACCTTGAATACTGTGTTTGATTTAAAATCACTACCATACATGAGTTCTAATATTGTGCAGCAGATATGAGGATTAATTTTGAATGCTTAATGTCACACTTTTGTTTTTTTTTTTGGGCGACGGTAACAAGATGGTCACCAAAAAATATGTTAGCATTTTTCTTTAATGAAAAAATATGTTAACCGTTGTTTTGTCGTCACAAAAAGTATTTGTCACCCCCACATTCACGACCCTCATTTGCCGTCGCATGAGTTGTCGCAAAAAGTCTTTTGTGACTGTTTTTTTATTATTTGCAACGGCTTGTAGTGGTCGCAAAAAATACTTTTTTTTAGTAGTGTTATCATACATATCATTTACATACATGGTATAACAATTAGTATAGGCATTAAAAGAAAATTGAATGTAGACTATGGCTATATTTGATTTGACTATGTAAATGAAAAGAAAGAAAGAAAGAAAGAAAAAAAAAAAAATTGAGAATTTTAATAGTCGTTAAAATTGATTTTGCTAAACTAATTTCTCATTTTTTTTTATGAGCAAAAGGAAAATAAAATTAATGCAATCAACAAAATATAAGAGTGATAACTAGATTGACACATGAGCATCAGGCACAATCATGTGCAAAAACCCAGCAGTTAGCAAGGAAACAAGCAGCCAAACATAAGAGAAATATATACACATTACAACAAATTAATATTTTTAAAATAAAAATTTAAAAATAAAATTACTTTTTAAAGGACCGAACATCTTAGTCAACTTTTGTGATTTTTATTCATTTTATATCTATAGCAAAACAGAATGAGAAGGCATTTACATAAGACAATGGCTTGTTTTGGAAAGTTGATTAAACGTTAATTTTTTGTTTTTTTTAATTTTTTTGTAAAAGATATATAAAAAAATATAGAAGTGATGTGATCCAAAACAGATTGAAAGTCAAAATTTAACTTTTAACCAAGTTTCCAAATTAGGCCAATATTTGCTCATGGATAGAGGCACCTTACAAATGACCTCTAAGGGCTTCAACTTTGGCATGGGGATGCCAGGAGTTTCAGCGTGTTAAATGAATCGGGCCAACGCAACACATTTAGAGTCAGGCCTATCATGAGACGAATCTTAGCGTGCGTTCCTGGGCTGATGTTTTGGGCCCAATAGCATACTAATAGTCACGACACAAGCCACATAACAAGCACAAGAAAAATTATTTCATTTAATTTTGAATAATTATAAGAGGAAATATCATTTGATTTTTCAAATTATCACTTGAAAATCAATTCAACACCTATATTTTTAATTTTATCAATTTTACACTTCAATTATTTAATTTTGAATCAATTTCACCCTTGTCGTTTGTTGCCATTTATAATTAGACGGCACTCGTTGATGTGGTGCAAAATTTCATTTAAAACATTATTTTGACCCCCAAACTATCCGTAAAAAATCAATTAGACCCCTAATGTAAAAAAAAATTAATTTAAATATTCAATAATAATTTTTCTTCTAAAAAAGTGAGAAAAATAAATTTTAAATAAAAAAAATTGAGTATTAGTCTTGTTGAGTATTATTTAGAAAGTAATTGCTAACTTTTGTATTAAATTGTCATTCAATCGATGATATGACCGAGTATGTACTAATCTCAATTTTGTAGGCAAATCTCGACATATTCATTTTTGTCATTCAATATAATTTTTCAAATGTCAAAAAAAGATATTGCTCTCATACTAAGTGGACTAAATTTTTACCAACTCAATTTTGAAATTATTATTAGTTGATCAACTTTATTGAAATTAATTTGAGGAATAAGCTAGCTATAATTGAGCGTGCTCACACAAATAGAGTAGCTAAAGAATTTTTTGCTCAATTAGTTCTTTTTTTTTTTTTTGAAAAAACGTGTAAAAAAATAAAAAAATTTTAACTTTTAACCATCTTCTCAAAAAGGGTACATGTAATATTACTTTTTAATTTTTTGTGTCAAATGTTTAGCATTACGCCCAACAAGTATTATAATGGCTAAATTCAATTAAAATTTAACTTTAAAAGACAATCACCAAACCATTCTTCACTAATATGAATCACTGTTTTTGACTTACACAGATGGTTTTGAAACCTTTATATATATGTACGAGCACGAAATAATCTTCTCGTATAATCCTGTTGATCAAGTTTGCACTCTTCCAAACGTCGTCGCTTTGCTGCCTAAAAACACAAACGTGAGCTAGTTGACGGGTGTGTGTCGGAAACCCCTCCGATGCCTAAGTCAGCAAAATAGACAATAGACACAAAAGCTCTGTGAATTTTAGAGCAAGAATTGTGATTGTGATACCTGTCCATAGGTCCTGCTATGAGCTTTTATAGACTTGGCCTGGCCCAATCCTAGTAGGATTTCAACTCTCCTTATAAGAGTCCTAGGAATCGCACACCCTACTCACTACCAACCAAGTGAGATGGTTTGCACAATCCTAGTAGGACTCTACTCTTCTTAGCAGAGTCCTCCTAGGAGTCATATTCTTACTCACTACTAACCAAGTGAGATGGTTTTGTACAATCCTAGTAGGACTCTACTCTCCTTAGCAGAGTTCTCCTAGGATTCACACTCCTACTCAATGATGAATGTCTATCATAATAACACTTTGCTTTCCACCAACCAAGTAAGATGGTTACCTCCTTTGTTTAAGCTGTTGCAACCTAACCAAGCTAGATTACCTCGGTCATATACTCAATTAAGTAATGAAGTAGATGGCATTCGGCCGAGCTAGTGTGGGTTTCCCCGCACGAGCGGACATGCAGACAAAAAGGCTCCGCTCGAACGTGGTTTCCCCTGCTCGAGCGGACTGTAAAATCATGCAAAAGTACTGGATGCATGCAATTCACGCTCGACGGACACTTGATCCCTGCTTGAGCGTGAGACACAAGTCCTCGCTCGAGCGTGCATTTCCTCGCTCGAGTGGACTATAAACATGGGCAAAGTACTGGATACACGCATTTTCCGCTCGAGCGTCCCTTTCCCTGCTTGAGCGGACTGCATGAATTTAGTGTGTACGCTCGAGCGTGGAGTTCCCTGCTCGAGCGTGAGTCCAAAATCTGGAATTTTCATATTTGAACCTCAAGCTCAAAACTCAACTTTGAAGTATCAAATTCGATCCTTTTGGGCTAATTTTATGGAAGACACTTGTAAACTCATAATATGACATGTTTCAAAGATCA